GGCTGGGGTGATCATGTCCTCAATGTGGCTGTAGACTAATTGCCTAAGACTAAATGCCAAATGTCAGCTCTGAGACCCTGCTCCTGTCTTATTACTTCTCTAGTGCTACGATTAAAGGTGTAAGCTCTGTTTCTCTTTTAGACTGATTCACTCTCGTGTAGCCCTGCATGGCCTTGACCTCACAGAGATTCATCTGCCTCTGTCTCCTGAGTCTACTCTATTTTGTGTCAAGTTGATACAAAAAAACAACCAATGCACAAGGGGACAGAGAGGGGATGGGTACACCAAGCAGGGGTAAGTGGAGGACAGAGAAGAGACAGGCACACCAGACAGGGACCCAGTGGAAGACATGACATGGTCACATTAGGCAATGGAGAAGAGTTTAAAGGGACTGTTTCATTTTTCTGTTGTTTGTTTTTAAGTTGTAAGAAGAGTTAAAGGGAAGCAATAAGAAATAAAGGGAAGCAGTTTTGTAGAGCTCACAGAAGTTGAAAGCCCACAGGGGATAGGTTAAGAGCAATTACCAGAACAACAGCAGAAAAAGCAATGTAAAGAATGGTTGAGGGAGCCTTGGCTTTTCAGAGAAATGTACAGCAGATGTGAACAGCAACCCAGCAGGAGGGCTCTGGGGACTCAGTGCTGTGACCTCATTTTCATTCTTCAGCCTCCTGCTAACCTAGTCCATAAACCACGTGCAAGCAAAATCTGGAAAGCGAGCATGTTGATAGAGGCAGTCTGTTTCAGTCACTCTGGGCACAAAATGATATGGGAAAGGAGAGAGAAGGAACCAAAGGAACCAAACGTCATAATTCATCTATCTTCCCTGTATGTAGGACCCACTCTTGTCCCTGAAAGGATGAAGAAAAACAAAAGTATGTTCCAACACAGAAAACTCTGGAAATTTCATCAGCTACTATAGTATTACATGATATCAGTATGGTCAGATTTCTACCTAAAAATGATACTAGCCACTATAAGTAGTCTTTGTATATGGCAGTGATTTTCAACCTTCTTAAGTTCCTCATGTTGTGGTGACCCCCAACTATAAAATTACTTTTGTTGCTACTTCCTAACTGTAATTGTACTAGTGTTATGAACTATAATATAATGTCTGACATGCAGATGGCCTTCATGCAGATGGTCTTAGGCTACCCCTGTGAAAAGTCTTTCAACCCAAAAGGGATTGTGACCCACAGGTTGATAATCACTGATATAGGGGAAAGAGATGAAAAAAAATACAGCTAATTCATAGAAAGCATGTCCACTACTGTTTCTTTTCTTATAGCTGTTCTCAAGACCTAAGATATAAATCATGTATTATAAGACTTCTGGGCAAAGATGGACATTTATAAACTTCCTCTACAAGACTCTGTGAATTAAAAAACTTTCAAGTAGCAAAAAGTATACACTTTATACCTAAGAAACAGAGGAAAGGGCAATGGGACAGCTAAAAGTCATGGAGAAACAGACAGGCTCTGCAGAGAAAAGTAAGCAGCAGCCCACGACCCGACCCCTGACTGTCTTGAGGGAGGAGAAGCCAGTTCCAAGACCGCAAGGTAGACCAGCAATCCATGGTGAGAACAGACTATCAGTGCAGACTATAAGACAAGTGTGTGGTTCTCATGAGCCTATTATCCGGTGGGGAAATTTGGTATGACTGTAACACCTATATGACAGACAAGTTTTTAAAGAACACAGCCATTTTGTTGCCTCCAATATCTTAGAGTATTATTTCCAGGTGCCATTGTGATGACATATGGCAGAGCCTGAAAGGTAGAGAGAGACATGGCTGAAGCAGAGGAGGGACCTGAGTGAGAAGGAGTCAGGATGGTAGAGGGTGGGCATGATAAGAGCTATGGATTTCATTCTTGGTGTGAGGGAACGCCATCAGCAACAAGAGAATGCCCAAGCTAATGTTTTCTCTTTTACATGACTGTAAGATAGAAAACACATAGGCAGAGGAAGGACATTCATAAATTATTAGAATCATTTGGTGGAGGAATAGTCACAGCTTAGAGAAAAGTTAGCCCGCCTTTTTTTCAGAGTTCACATAGAGAAATTTCTGGCATACACACATACAGTGTGAGGCTGGATCAGGGGAAGCCGGAGTTGATATGTTATCTGCTTCAGAATGTTGTCAGACATCATAGAAAGGCATTTTTAAAAGACTCTTAGTAAAACCTCCTAATATTTTGGTAATAAATATTCTTCCAGTCATGGCTCAGCTTCTAAAAGGTTAGGCTAATACATTGCGGCTCAAAGTTTGCTCAAATCGTTGCACTGGAACTCTCTTGGAAGAGAAAGGCAAATGTCCTAAGCAACATCTATCTCAGTCACTATTCTGCTGCTGCAACCAGACTCCATGACCAAGGCAACTTATAGAAGAAAACATTTAATTGGGAGCTTACTTATGGTTTCAGGGGTTAGCCCATGATCGTCACAGAGAGGAACATGATGGGAGGCAGGCATGGCACTGGAGCAGTAGCTGAGAGCTTACATCTTATAAGAAAGTTGGGCACAGAGAAAGCAAGTTGGGCATGGAGTCGGCTTTTTAAACCTCCAAGCATACCCCCAGTGACACAACTCCTCCAAGGCCATATCCCCAAAACAGTTCCAACAACTAGGGAACCACGTGTCCAAATCCATGAGCCTGGAGAAGTGATTCTCATTCAAACCACAGTATCAGCTTATCAAAAATAATGGCTATCCAATTGACCAGAAAGCTGTTCCATGTTGCATCTCTCCACGTTTGGAGACCAAGCACAGAAGCATTAACTTTGGTTTGGACGTGAAGGAGATGAAGTTCACACACAGGCTCACTGCTCACCACCCCATGCTGTGGAAGTCTGGCAAATCACTGGCAAGTGGCATGGGGAATAAACTCAGGGCAACAGATTGTAAATGAAAACACTTTAGACAGCCAGTCAATAACTCTTTCTACCTAGTAACTTTGACCTTCTATGAAAAGACATACACAATCAATAACTTCCCTTCTCCCTGGTGGCTCTTCTATGCTGGTGTCACATCTCCTCATCTAACCATTGTTTTTCCTGCCTGTTCTCTCCCTCCTCTGTACCACAGTAAGGATTTTGAAGATACACTCCTTTCTCTTTGTATATTTCATGATATAGTTCCCATTTTCTGGTACAAAAGACTTGTATAAGTGACAATTCCACTTGTCAGAGAAACTTTACCCACCCAAACATAGTGCCTTTGCTTCTTTTTGGGAAGACTGGGGAATACTTCTTAGTAGGTCTCACCTAGAAATGAAGCAGCTCACTTAACATAAGCCAGGGCTACATGTATTTCTCTCCACTGACATCTCTTCTCTGTTTTATCCATAAACAGCCAATAGTATAAGTGGAACATAGCCATGTCATTTTACCTTTCAGAATTCCATGCTGCATCAAAAACAGAAGAGAGCCTTCAGATCAGATAAACCTGCTTCAACAATGGGTCAACTAAGCTCATAAAACATAGCTTCATGTGTCTCTGATTTCTTTTTCTTATCCATAGAATAAGAATGTATGTGTGTCTGTGTATGTATGTGCATGTGCGCATGTATAAATGAAGGAGTGGTTTGTGTGTGTGTGTGTGTGTGTGTGTGTGTGTGTGTGTGTGCGCGCGTGCGCAAGCATGTGGGTGTGTATGTGTGTGAGCATGTATGTGTACATTAGCTTTCAATCACTGCAACAAATATGAAAAGCAATCATCTTACACTAAGATAAGGTTTATTCCTATCATAGCATTGGAGATTTCAGTTTCTGGCCTACTAGGTCAACTTTATTTGGGCTTATAGCCAGGCTACTTGTCATGGTGTGAGTATATGACAAAAACAAAGTCATTTACCTCATACCCATGTTACAAAAGAAAGACAAAGTAGAATGAGCTGCCATCCAATTATCCCCTTCAAGCATGTACCCATTTGGCATGAACATCACCAGATCTAAAGGCTGCATCATCTCTCAATAACCTCTGCCCTGGAAATTAAGCCTGTTACACATGCTTTGCAGGGCTGGCGGATGGTTCTGAAGGTAAGAGTGTTTAACGTAAAAGCATGAGAACCTGGGTTTGACTCCCCAGTACCCATATAAAAAACCAGGCATGGCCACACACTGTAGCCGCAGTGATGTGGGGGACAACAACAAGAGAATTACTAGAATTTCCTGACAATTGGCTCAGGGAGAGAGCCTATTTCAAATGATACAGCACACACTGAGAGAGCAGGACACCAATAACAGTATCAGGATTTCATATGCATATCCATGCACATACAACACACATACGCATACACAAAGACACAAGCACACACCCACACACACACAACCACAAGCCTCTGGGGACAAACTTTAGCAGCATAATACTATAGCTACCTCATTTTTGTAGATCAAGCATAAAGTTATGAGACTGATTAGATAACGCTGGCAATGATGTTATTATCGATGAAAGGGGAAAAAACACAAAGACAGATGATTTATGATATTCATGTGTTTATTGAAGCCTAAGATATCATGGTTTTAAAATATTATCATAAATATTATTTTTCTTATATTCAAATAGCAATATCAGATAATGTTTCTATAAATAAGTCTATATTAATAAACTGGCATAAATAAAATGCATACTTATAATAAATAAACTTACATATATAAAGTTACTGACTAGGCAAATGGAGTAACATAGGCTTGGTTTCTAAAGGAGTGAGAAGTAATCTCTTTTGTGGAAATAATCAATTTTTTAAAAAACATTTTTCTCTTGTATCATCAGTTACAATAAAATATTGTCAAAGAATCCTTGTGGTTAGAAAAATCTGTATCTGGTCTTATGGACAACATGACATTGGTTTTCTTTTTCAACTGAACCAGGTTTCATGTAGAATCTTCTAATGATGGTGGAGTTTAGTTTCTCACTTTCCTATATTAAAAAAGACCTTTCAGGGTTCTTCTTATTACTTTTTGTAGGCAGGAAAGGTCGGTTATCCATTTTCTCGTCTCCCGAGCTCAGACACAATAATTCCTCAAGTGCATAAACAGCAGGTTCAGCTCCCCGATTGCTTTGATCTCTCCGCTCTCTCCAAGCTGTGAAAACAAGAGCACAAACTGATTTGAGGACTTGTGCGGTTTTCGAAGGAGGAACTAGTTAGAGGGAGATGGCGTGGTTAGCTTGCAGAGCGCCAAAACCAAGTGTCAGCCTTCTCTAAAAGATTAATAATCAACAATAATGCACTTTTAGCATGAACGGAATGTGGTTTGCCAAAGACCTCAGAACCATGCCTATCTGAACTAAGGACACCACAGGCATTCTATATTGCTTGCACTTCTCACTAAAGAAATTCTTGTTGGGTGTGTTAATCAGCCTTCTCGAACCTTGCACCATACACACATAGATAAATCAGCACACTCTATCCCACAAATTACACAATTATTTGACAATTAAAAATTAATTTTAGTGGGCATTAGAGAAAAGATTTGCTCAGTTCCTAGCCATACAGAACAGCAGAAAGCTACACTGAGACCTGAACATGCTAAGTGCCACCCTGCCAGGGCTTGCCCTGCCACATAGCCCCACACCTGTCCATGACCCACTACTGCTGAGAGCTCAACCCAAACAGCCTTGACCCAAAGACCAACATATACCCACATAGTTAGGCTTTGTCTGTGCTCACCTTCTAAAGAGGAGAAAAACGGTGGACAAAACCGGTTTCCGTTTTTGTAAAGAGAATGGCAAGCATATCTGTTCCATCGCTTTAACTATCAAAGCACCGGATAGGAATCATAACATTCCCTTGTTCCAGCTCCATTCAAGTATGATAAGGGTTAAACTCTCAAGCTCAATGGGGGACAAAAACCTGAACTCAAACTCAAAATGTCCCTCTGAAATCCACTCAATCGTTATCCTTCTAGATTGTTCCAAGAAAAATTCTCTCTCAGCAGCTCTCCACATTTTGTTCTCTTTCCCTTCCTGCCTTCTTCCCACGTTTCTTTCCCAGACTTCCTTCCTTATGACTCTCAAATCTATGAAATCCCATGGCTCATCTTCCCCAACTCTACCATACCTTCTGCTCTATGTCCTCTACTGTCGGCATTTAACATGGGCAAAGCCCCTTCCCATGCCAGGCAGTTCTGACAAGTTCCCTCTGGCTACCAGATTTCTGTGAGTAATATTCCTTCCCCTGTTGCCAGTGCTTTAGAACCTAAATCACTCTCCCTCATGACAACATGCCATAAAAGTTGAAATTGATTACAAGTGGAATACAGCCTTAAAAAAAATAAAGTTTCATGCAGAGATCACATCTCCCGTGAGATCTTTCTCACACACTTCACCTTTCCAAAGACAACAAAGTGGATGAACAACAATAACTTTTTAAATATGCCTTTGAAGTATGCATCTTCCGCATGCTAACGCCCAAGTCTGTGTGTCAATGCCATGAACACCCTAACAAGAGAACTGGCACAGCACTGAAAAGCTGCAAAGCCTTTAATACTCGACAGAAGAAAACAGCCATGTCCAACACACTGTGCTCAAGAAGAAAATAGTTAAGTTAGATAGAAGACCGATAAGACCAGGCATAGCACTAATAATTCCTTCAACCAGAGCCTCTTTGTTTCTGAGTATTTAATTAGAAAAGCCTCACTTTCACTGCTGCCAATCATGCCTCTGTTTTAGGGTGAGTCATGCTCCCTGACCTGAGCCTCCTGCCACTGTTCTTTCCCCCCAAAGGGGCCATGCAGCAATGTTGATCACTGTAAAGCTATGCACTAGCTCACAGTAGGGAAGTGCTCAATAGTGGCGTCTTGAGGGTGTGAAAGTAAAAAATAAGAAAATTTATTTCCCTGTAATAAATCCATGACTGATATTTTCACTTTTGAAACCATGTAAAATAAATTGGAAGGTTATCTGCTCTTGTGTTTAATCTTCAATCGGTAGCTATCAGGCACTATATTATAATTCTGGTTATAGTTATTAATGTCAGTGATTCCAAATATTCATCGTATATACAAGTCCAGCTCTTTTGCTACTATTCTGATTTTTGTCACATTTTAGAGCATCAGTTTAATAACCTAATGCATGCTTCTTCAAATTATATGAGTAAATGGGAGCCAAGACTTTCCTGGCAAATTAATTATGCTAAAATAATTTCATTCACCTGCTGGAATGTAAGTGCTGAGCAGGAACCCAGGAGTTCCAGCACTGGCTCTGCCACCAACCGTCCTCAGAGCCCAGGCTAATGACACTAGCTGAGCTAAGTTTTCTACTAGAATTTATGACCTACAGATTTAGAAACAGGCTAAATGATATATAGGCCCAGGTAGATGCACACGCAGCAAGTAATGGATCAGATAGTAGAGGAATCAAGTAAAATGTTACAAAGTAGAGGAAGGGGAGAAAAAAAAGGCGAAGAAAGAAAGCTATGCTTCTCCTGTTAAATGGCTTATGATATCACTCGTCAGTAGTACCTGTTTTACTGTCTCCTTCAGGGTTTGTACATTCTTCTGGATGCGCTGGCCATTACCACTGATTTGCTGCAAAATAAGACAGAACTCACTCACTAATGGAATCTCTGTCGTGTGAAAGCCTATACCTCAGTGCATCAAAGACACGTGACCATTCACCTGGAATGGAGATATTTAGTAATTTTTGCCCACAGTGACCTAGATTTCACTGGGTGACCTAGATTCTCTGGGACACTGAAATCCAGGTACTTCCCTTGCAGAAGAGCTGTCCTCATCTCTGGGGAAGCCTACTGAGGTTTCCACCAGCAGCAAGAAACCTAAACTGAACCTCATCAAAGGTGGGAACCAAGCACAAGAAATGAGCAGGAAGCATCTTACGTGAAAAGTGGGTCCTCCCAGTCAATGCAAGGTCCCTTCAGCCTACCAACTCCTCATGGACATGGCTCACAGTTTAGGGTGTCTGGGGTATCAAGCTTATACACTGACATTTCTTAACTTCCAGTCTGAACAAAAAGGAGTGCGCTTCTCACACGCCCACCCCTAACCATGAGAACGTCCTCTTCCCCTTTGACTTTTGCTCTGTGCCATTCCCTCCCCGCAACAACTTCTACTCAGTGGATATATTTCCTCATCTAGGCCTTTTTTTCTTACAGTTCCCAGCATTTTTCTCATTATGCATAGGTCAAGTTGCTTTCTTTCCACAGGTAAAACTAATAAGGCCTTTCCCCTACAAACTCAAACTATGACTCAAATAAAGCCAAAGCAATCACTTTTCGACTGATTTCAAGTGGCCTCTGATGTTACTGAGGTCCTCCTAGTTGCCAGTCTCACTGCCAGGGTTGGGAAGGAGGGAGGAGGGGACCACACGCTCTAATTGGAATAGGAGAAGAGGGAAGAAGGTGAGAGGAGAGGAGATGGATGCCGCTAAGAGAAAGACTTACACAGAGGCTGAGCTGGTTGCTTAGCTTGGTCAGGAAGGGTACCACCTGCTGCATGTAGGGCTGGAATCTGTCTGACTGGGGAATCAGCACTTCTGCAAGGGTGAAGTTGAGTACCTGCTTCATCAGGTAGCATCGATTATTCCTCTGAAGGTAGAAAGGAAGCAGCAAGGGTTACATTACAGGACATCACACAGGATCCATCAAGTACTGCAGCTAATCAGGAGATGGATACATTCCCTGCTCCTCATGAAGAGAACTTACATTGACTCCTTGGAACAGTTCATCTCCAATGAGTCGGACATCTGTGTTGTTATCTGCAAGGCTGGCCTGGAAGAGAGAAAAGCCTAAGAGCCTGGTTGACAAGGATGTAGAAGAAAAGCCTGTAAGTAGAAATGTATGCTACCATAGGGGCTAATGGCCAGCCACTGAATGTATGAGTTTAGAACAGTGCACAGAGAAGTGAAAAAGTCAATAATAGGTGACTTTCACATGGCTCCTCTATGGATAAAATGTAGTGTATGAATCCTAAAGGCCAAATATAAGAAAAAAGGTTCTAATTAAGATCAGGTCCTCAAAAAGTCTCTAAAGAGACATAGAAAGTCTCTACCTATGGAAACAAAGTGTGGCTAAAGAGCTCACAAAGTGCTTCATAGAAAATGGCAAGGGGCCCTTGAATCCCCAGTAGACATGAAGAGAGAGATGTCTATGTACCTCCTCAGCCAGCCTGAAGGTGCGGTTGGTGAAGTATGGCCGCTGGAAATCGGACACATCAAGCTTGCAGTGGGAAGAGATGGGCAGTCCCACTGCCTCCTGGGCCCACAGGGCAATGAGAAGCAGGCAGCTGGCAGCCAAAAGCCCCATAAAGGAAAAGCTCATAGACTTCTTCTGCAGGACGGCCATCACAGACAACTTAAATGTGAACAATTGATAACCGGGGAAGGAGAACCTGCTAACAAGGGAACAAGAAGCAAAAGCATGAGGGAAACAAGTTAGTCGGATAGCATCCCACCAAACAGATCAACTCATTGCATCAGTCTGTATGCTTACCTGTTTCGGTAGCTCTGCTTGTGATGGGTAAGGCAGAAGTTGCTGCTTTTATAGCCATAGGACACCCGATTTTTGGGTATCTGAACCATATGACATCAGACATTATCTAATTTCCAGTTCTGTCTTCTGAGAACTCCCTAACCACCATAGGAGGCCACAGAACACCGCCTCCCAGCCTTCCCACCTTGAGACATGAAGCCTTTCCTAAAACGTCATTGTATGAGCCCAGAAGGTGCTTTTGCAGACAAATCCCAGAAATCTTCTAAACTCTACATGTTTTTCAAAGAAAACAATTGCTTTGTTGTAGTAGATTCTGATTGAGTATAATCAACTTTGATCTCCTGTAGTAACTGAGTCAGCATTTTGGTCACGAACTCATTTTCCTTTCAACTTCATAGATTCTTATCTCTTTAGAAGTGACCAGAAATAAAAGACCCATGCCCTATATTCTGTGCTTTCAAATAAGCAATGACAAAAATTTGGAGATTATTTCAATTTTTAGTATAATTTTATCCCATTTTTTAGTATACAGAATGCTTAACTACAACTAGTTTTTAAAAATAACAGGTGTTGGCTAATATAACTGTTTTCTCACGGGTTCCATTCCCACAGATATGCTCATACAGAGACTGTTTTTGAGTGAGCAAACAATTATGGTAGGTGAAAAAATGAAGATTTACTCATAAAATCATAACTAGGATCAATTTAAGTTTGGAAATATTGGTAGTGAACAATCCAGTAAACATTTTTTTCTGTTTTTTTTTTTTTTTTTCAAGATAGGGTTTCTGTGTTTAATAGCCCTAGTTGTCCTGGAACTTGTTTTGTAGATCCGGCTAGCCTCAAACTCACAAAAAATAGAGGTGATTTGCCTTCATGGCTCTTCTTCAATTTTGACCTGACTCTCCTTACTAGCTTCAATCTTGTCTCTGGGTAGGAAATAAATAACTGCAAGAAAAAAAGAAAAAGACAACAGAGAATTGCAAAATAGTTTTTAATAGTAACATATGTACCATATGTCATATTCACCAGTGGACAGACCATTAATGTCAGTGTTAGCATACAGGTATTTCATGAGTGTGACTAAGAGTCACTAAAACAAAAATGCAACCTGGGGCTGTCTGTAGGTTTCCCAAGAGTTGCAGAGAGGACATCAATAGTGATTGCTGTTAGAATGCAGATGTAGCATAGAGATGCCCCTGTGAAAACAAAAGCGAGAGACATATGTACTGAATAATCTCTGATCACAACAGTGGTCTCTTCATGCATCTCCAAGTCACCCCAGACAAAGGGTAACATCATCACCATGTTACTAGACTATACTTGCGGATGATGTTGGGTCTCTACCAGGAGGAGCTAAACCAGGAGCTATCCCCAACCTGAAGGTGAGCTATAGCTGCTTCCCTCCCTGTACCGCCTAGAATAGTAATCGGCATACTGCAGATGATGAATAAATTTTTAATGACTGGCTGAATGAATCTACTTCCCATTCATTGGCTGGTCCCTAAAATCTACATCTGGGAATGCAATCTTTAAAATACAAACCTCTAAGGGTCAGGGAGACGTTTGTCATCTCAGGTAAAAGATTTATATTCATAAGACTTCATATTCCAATGTGCATGGCCACTATTCCATACAAGTTACATACATGTGTAATACTCATTTCTATGCATGTATTCTCCTAAGACAAATAACATTGCTTAGTATGAGCATTTTTTTTTTATCTTATTGCAACAGTTCTCTTTCTTGCTTTTTCCACCCAATAATATGGCCTTGCCATGTTCTATGGGTAGCCACTACTTCACACTTAGCATGGCAGACTGTAATATCTACCACATTTTATTTACTCATTTTCCCATGATAAGTGCCTGAACAGCCTCCAATTGCTCTCAAAGCAGACACTACAACACTAAGCAACCTCACCCAAGTCATTTTCAATGTATTTTTAAAATAATTTTAAATATTTTTAAAAGAATCTAAGGTCTCCACTCAAGGCAGAGATTCGATTCTCTTGACCAGAATGCATCTTCCCTTGGCAAGCCTTTGTGACTATACTGATATCCCCCACTCCATAGAGGTAATCTCAAAAGCCACTTAGGAACAAGGCCAAAACACAGAGGCCCCAAGTATGTTGACCTCTAGCAAAGATGAGACAGTCTTAGAAATTTTAAGATCATCTATATCATCGATAAGTCTTATCTTTTACATATCTTAAATAATTTACTGAGACATTTGTAATTTGTATAAAATTTCCAGATTTCTTTCCCATTCTAAGAACATCCAACCATCTTAATCTTCATACATGAATCGTTTTACCATCTGTTGTGACAATGATTTTGTTGAAAACCTCATAAGGTTCCAGTGACAAACAAATATTCAATTCTTTCGAGTGTTCGAAAGAACAAATTAATTTATCAGGTTTACTTACAGAACATGGGTAAAGGGTTATTGACAGGAGCAAGGGAGATCTAAAAGCAACCATACTAGAAAGCCTTCACAAAGTGTGTATGATTGCTTCTTCACAGCCAAATAGGTAAAGCCCCCCTCTCCCTAGTTTTCCCCAACCTATATACTCTAGCTCCTTTGAAAGATCTGAAGGCCATGTACAATTAGGGCAGAGTTGAGTACTTCTGACTTGGAGGAGTAGCCGGGTGAGGTTCAATCACCCTGCCCACACCCTCCTTCTAGGAAGGAACATTAGCAGTCTCAAAGCCCAACTGTGGTACTTTTCTACAGACAGACACAGCTGAAGTCAGAAGATTCTGGTTGACTGTCTTAGAAAACAGTGCTGTGCACACCACGACCACCTTAATAAAAAAAAAGTTTAATGCAAACCACATACATAGCATAACACAATTAATGTTATCCAGTACCATGCAACACCACCACCTTAATGAAAGACAGTTTAATGCAAACTATATATGTAGCATAGCATAATTGATGCTGTCCATGGAGATTCTGCTAAATTGTGGGGCATACCAAGTTCCCAGGTAAACCTTAAGGAAAACCCAAGACAATTAAAACTCTCTGTAAACACAGTATGGAGAGTAATCTCGTGCTTCTGGTTTCGAATAAGTGTGGGCAGCAGACAGAATCAACAGATACACAACAAAACATCAACTAAGAAACAGCAGAAACCAACTAAGGAAACCCTGTTAAGACGACAATGATGGAGTTACTACTTGAAGTTTGTTGTTGTTGATGTTGACGATGATGATGATGACAATGACAGAGGATCTTCTCCGTCTTCTTTATAGATGACATCTCATTAGATGCTTTATTGTAGTCATTCTTACAACATGAGGTAGGCAGTAGTAATTACTTTTCGAAATAGTTACCCTTTAACCACCCTAAAGAAGACAATGCCTTTACTCTTACTCTATTTTTGTTGTTCTCCTTTCTCACTGTCACAGAGCAGCCTGACTCAGGAAGGAGGGCTTTGAAGGACACTTTGAGACAAACGTGTTGTATCTGAAGCAGGAGAGTCAAATCCCATTTCCAAAACCACCTTCCCAGTGAGCTCAAATAACACATGACAACTTGTCAGTATAATTTATAGACAAAAGATATTTGCTTCTCAGTACAGCTGAACGGAGTGGCTTTTTACTGGATAGGAGATGTACTGTTGAGTCCAGTATTAACTGGCTGGACCCAAAGCATCTGTCCTCCTTATAATCTGTATAGATTTGTCCAAATGGGTCTTATCATCCTTTGAATCGTGTATTGGGAATGAGAATTGATAAGAGATGGAAAACATTTTCTTCCTTTTAGAGTCCTTTAAGACACAGAGCAATACATTTTAAAGGTTTGTCCTCTATAGGCTCATGGGTGAGTGGCAATCAGCATCCATTATCTAGGAAGATCACAACAACAGAACTATCTGCTTTTAGCAGTGTCTAACCTTTGACCCTCACTGGCTAGACCTGTGGGGACCAACTGCTTATAATACTGTACCAACAGTCAGTTAGTTAGTGTCTGTAAATGGAGAAAGACAACCTGAAAAACTTAAAAAATACCGTCCCTCCTACAAAGAGATCAATTGGTAGGATAATGTAATACTCTAGTTGATATTTTTGCCCTAGAGGCCACTTTTTTTCCCTCTAGTCTAACTTTAGTCTAGGCTTGAGTGCAGAAAAATATCAGCCATCCCCTTGTCCAGTCTTCAGTCCTATGGATCTAAAAGACCCCAATGGGTAAGGACACAGTCTAGGGGCCTTGGTTGGTGACTACCCATCTGTTAAACAAAAGACAATATATGGGACATCCCCTAGGTTTTCTTTATCTCTCTCTGCAGAGCATCCTATGGAGAGTTTCCCAGATATTGTTTCTTTGCTCATCAAAGAAGGAGGCACCTATCATATTAATCACTTATTTTACCCATTTGGTCCAGGGCACTGGTATCTTCTTCCTCATCAACACCCATAAGGAAGGGGGCCTATTCAAATTATTCACCCTAAATTGTTCTTTAATACCCTGTGACCTTAATGAATTCTTTCTGCATTTATCCTGCTTTGTCTTATCCCACCTGTACAGGAGCCAACATTAAAAAGAATCCTGTGGAGTGAATAAGTCTCTTGTGTCAAGAAAGTCTGGTGATTATGTAAGTTAAGTGCCCATGATCACAACTTATAGAAAGACATATGGACTTCCCTTCCTTAGGTTGAGACCATGGAACTTCTTTTCCTTGTTTGTTTGTTCATCTCCCTGGGGGTTGAACCTCTAATATTCCCTTAAACATTCCCTTTAACCTTTTCCCTCTAATTTATAATGTGGGTCCATATTGTGTTTCCCAGTCTAAGTAAGAAGCAAGCACAGTAAGAACTTGATGGGGGGATTTTCCACTTAAAAAGGCTAGC